AGGGGGCGCCCTCCCCCCGCCCGCAGCCGGGCCCGCGGCGCGCTCACCCTCGCACTCGGCGTCGGCCCAGCGCGTGCACTCGCGCAGCTGGCGCTCTGTGTCCTCGCACACGGTGCAGGGCAGGCACGGGTCCACGTGGTTGGCCTCGTCGGAGTACGTGCCGTCGGGACACTCCTCGCACACGGTGTTCTGCTTGTCCTGGCACGAGAACACGAGCCCCGAGCCCGCCTCGCACACGCGGCACGCCTCGCAGCGCCCCGTCGCCTCGTCCTGGTAGTAGCCGTAAGCGCAGCGGCACACGGCGTCGTCGGCCTCCACGCAGGGCGCCGACATGCTCTGCAGGCCCACGCACTCGGTACACGGCTTACACGGCTCCGTGGCGCTCACCACGTCGGAGAACGTCACGCCTGCGGGCAAACGGAGGTGGGGGAGCTGCGGGCCCAGAATTTGGTCGCCTGCATTTCGGGCACTTGGGACGCAGGGGCTGCAGGGCCTCTCTCCCTCCCCACGCCCGCAAGGGCGCTGCCTCCCTCGGTCAGAATCACCCCCTCGGCGGGCCTCACCCTCTCCCCTGATCCAGGTCCGTGAAAGCTTGTGGCAGCCCACTGGGAGGGAGGAAGGGGTCCGGGAGTCCCATGCTCCAAGCCCAAGCCCGGGAAGCAATGACCCTGAGACGTCTCAAGGTAGCCCAGGTGGTGCAGGTAAATTTCTTGGCAGATTCTCTTAGAGAGTTCCCAGCAAGATTAAGGGATAATCTGGAGGTGGTTCCCACCCAGCTCTCCCCACAGGCCAGAGCTGAGCTGGGAACCCAGCCCAGGCATGGGGCCTTCAACAGCTGCCCTTGCACAGGTCGGGGCTCAGGTGTGGCCTGTATGAGAGTAACTAGGGTTAGACAACATAATTTCCCACCCAGGGCGCTCCCCCACGCTGCCGAAAGGCTTGGCTCCTGAGGGTGGGGATAAGAATCCTGGCTAGCAAGTTCAGGTACAGCAGGAGGGACTGACGCTAGAAAGCAAGAAGGATTTGAATATATCATCCTCTGCGCTTTGAAAGGGCATAAAGGGAAGATTTTCAAAATCACTTTATTTTTTTAATAGTTTTTGTTAATCCTTACCTGAGGATATTTTTTTCCATTGCTTTTCAGAGACAATGGAAGGGAGGGAGGGAGGGAGGGAAGGAGGAAGAGAGAGAGAGAGAGAGAGATATGTCTCTCTCACATCAACTGGTTGCCTCCTGATTGCTCCCACCTCAGCCAACCTGCAACCAAAGGAAGTGCCCTTGACCAGGAATCAGCTTCGGTGCCCTGGGCCAACACTCTAACCACGGAGCCACACTGGCCAGGACCGAGCTCACTGTTAACTTATGCTTTCTTAATTAATGGATGTGAGCTCCAGAACAAGGGGAGGGACGCCAGGGGCGCCAGGGTCCTCTCCTCCTTGTGCAGAGAAGAGAAGGCACAGAGCAGATCTTCACTCCTTTCAGCCCAGCATGGAGAACTCGTGCCAATCTGCATCCAAGAGGGTGCATTCTTGCTCCAAGGGGAGGAAAAGCAGGGATTTAGCAACCTGAGAACCAGGGAAGGTCTGCTCAGAATGTGGAAGCCATAGAGGAAGTAGCAGCATCCCATGGAAGGGAAATCAAGGCCTGTTGTGGGTCTGATCTCAACCTTCTCTAAAGTCACCAAGAGACAAGATGGAGCACTGGGTCATTATCTTGGGGTGGGGGGAGTGTGTAGAAAAGCAAAGAAGAAAAAAACCAGACAGAAGTGGAAAGGGAAAAGATATAAGGGGAGAAGGGAAGAACACAATCAGTTCTGGCAGAGGGACCCCTATATTTCTCTTCCTAGGACTCAGGCAGATCTGGATTCAAAACTGCTTCCATCACTTATTAGCTGTGTGACTCTGGGCGCTTTATTTAACCTCTCTGAGCTTTTTACTTTCTCTGTAAAATAGGGAATAATATCTCCACTCACAGGGTTGTGATGAGGAATAAATGAAATTCACTGTAAAGCACTTGACACACAGCAGGGATCCTATAAAGGTTGGGCCTACCCCGTGGGATATAGTCAGACAGCAGAAAGGACTTCCAAACATAATCAGCCGAGGCAGGATTTCCAATTTAAACAAACAAGAGGCTCCTATCTGGTTGGCATGTGGCACCCTGGAAGGGAAGGCAAGGGAGGGCCCTCCCTGCTTATGGGAAAATACAGAAAATTAGCAGGAAACTCCTGGGAGAGGGTTTTAGGGGGTGGGGAAAATGTGGTCTTTTTTGGCAGAGAATGAAGGCAGGAGCTTAATGGGTTTCCTTGTGGAAANGCATCAGCGCAACTTAACAGCCCCCTCCGCCAGAGATCACCGGAGGTGGAAGGAAGGCATGGTTGCATGGGAGCCAGTGTTAGACTGGAGGCTCCCCACAAAGGGGACCTATCTCCCCCATCTGACTGGGACTGACTGAAGGCAGAGGCTGTGCTTCCTCCAGCAGAATGAGGGATCTCTCAGGAAATGAGTGCTGGGACCCTGTCTCTCTCATCAGACTGAGGCCAAGGCTGTATCTCTCCCATCAAACTTATGGTTCCCAAAAGGAGGGGCTGTGTTGCTTTCTCGGAGTGAGAATATCCTAAGGGTTAGGGAAATAGCTAAGTGGACACCCAGCCACAGGGTGATGGAGAGAACGTAAGGGCACTGTCAACCACTCCCTGCAGTGGAAAAGCTACCCATCTCCCTGAGACAGACGTCACCAACCAGAGGCCAAAACTGTTCTGCTCTGACGGCCAAGGTGCTTCCTCCTCCCACCCCAGGAATCACCCCATCTCCTTCGGGTCTGTGCCTGGCTAAGGTGGGCACACCCAACTCCCATCCACCCCTGGGGAGGGTGCTGCGGCCTCCACCTGCACCCTGCCTCTCATCCTTGGACCCTTCCACTCCCCTTCCTCCACCCCAAAGCCCCTTGCCCATGACCTCCTTAGTGTTCCTTGGGTCCAACTCCATCCTTGACTAAACTAAAGATGACTGTTGACCCTGCCCCCTGATAACACAAGTTGAAATAGACCCGCCACCTTCTCTAACCCACAACACTGGTCACCAACTGACCAGTGAGGAAACTGAGGTCCAAGACACAGCAGTGACCTCTCTAACTAACATCACTCAGCAAGTGGATTCTATCTTGGGTCATAAACCACCATGGACCTAGATCAGGCCTCAGTGCCTAAGGGTCTCAACTCCTGAGGGTCCTCAAGCCTCTTTTCCAGTTCAGAAAGCCTGCCTTAAGGATCATACGTGTCCTGCTCTGCTCTGGTTGCAGTGGCCACCTTCCAACTGTTTATCTGCAACCGGTCCAACGTCCAGCTGGCAGCCACAGTAGACCCGCCACCAATACAGCCCTGGAAAATGGGTACGAATGTAGTAGCTGCGGCCTGAGAGGAGGAGGGTGGCTTTCCAAACAGCCCAAAGGAGGAAAGAGTGAAAGGGGGCCTTTGGCGAGAAGGATCCGAAGCTACCTCCTCCGTCGGGTTTCAGGAAAAGCGGCCGCAGTTCCGGGCCGGTCCTGCCCCTCCCGACCCCCAG